CTTGACAAACCCCGCGCTTCTGAATAATCTCAACGCAGCGGGAAGAAATTGAATAGTTTTCCCTGAAACAAGTTCAACTCTTCCCCTTGTTGCAAGGGTGTATCATTCTGGTGTCAATGTTTCTGTACGACCAAGCAGGATCAGAGCTGCGAACTTCTGTGGGCGTGTCTTGTTTGAGGCTCAGTATCCTTTTGTGGGTGTCAAAGGGAAAGACACATCAGACTATCAGACAGTGTTCGACTGTCTGGGGACAGCCTGAACCACGGTTTTTTCGCAAAGAGGTGGTGCTGTGCTCAGATGTACAGCCCTCCACCAGAGGTTTTGTCAGTTTGCTGCTCTGCGGACACCTGGCCCTTGACGTGTTGGTTCGGCCCTGTATAGCCCGGTGAGCTCAAACGAGCAGTCACATGCAGGCAGATGAAGGTCGGGGGACAACTGCTTCCATACCAGTTGTGAGGTGACCAAACCAGTGAGGTGACCTAGCCAGTGAGGTGACCAAGCCAATATTTGCTGAGCAGTGACCAAACCAGTCATGAGATGGTTCAGGCTAAATTTTAACGGTTGGCGCTGGTTTTTTGTCTGCGGGGCGGGGGGATTTTGCAAGTCTCAGATTGTACTTTCCAGCAGTTCTGACTCTAGGTATCCTCTTTTGCAGAAACCGACCAAAGCTTCACAAGATTCCTGACAGCAGCTCCAAGCATGAAAAGAAGGTAAGCGATCAATCTTTGGATGTGTGAGTTTGTCTCCAATAGGAAATCTTCTTGGGGATCCCTTGTTTAAAGTTTGGGACATATAGTCAAAACTGCAGCCTGTTGAACTTGAACGAGTTCCAAGCCCGAAGAACCCGCGAAGAGCGGCGCCGTCGCCAAAGGCAACGGAACTGACAAGGCCCAGTCGGGTCACATGTGCCGATAGGGAGCGCACAGTGTTAGATTTGGCGGCGGCGTGCCGGCTGAGGCCAAGGTCCTGTTTTGCAACACTATGGTCTTCGAACAACCTGCTCCCGGGGAGGGTGCAGAACCAAAGAGCATCGCATGACTTGGAAAACGGTCCGCAGGTACAAGGTAAGACCTAGGGAGGTCTCTGTACGTTTGAGTTGCCTGTCGTGTTTGGTAAAAGTGAGGCCCGACTTGCTCGAAGAACACATGCCTTCACCCTGCCCAAAAGGCTCTGAGAACTCGTCCTAGACACCCTTCTCAGAAAGTTCTTAGATAGGTTTTCTCCCCATGAGTTGACGTGCATTTGCCAGATTCATGAGGAGCTTAGCTTGTTCTGGGGTAGAAGCACCTCGCCCCTGGATAGGCACCCTTTGCATTCCCCCGGTGTGCGGGCCTTTTGAAGCCATCCTTCTTGAAGAATTGGGTTTCGCTGACAGATTCATGGTGGGGACGACCAACAATGACCCCCCACCAACTCTTTTCCCGTAAGGTGGACCACGTGATTGAATTTTCACAGGCATTTGCAGTTCAAGCAGTCGCATACGCAGAGATGGCTCTGGCTTTGCTAATGGTAGGTGTTTCTCAAAACTGGAATCGGTACCCGCTTTCTTTTGGTTTCCCTCCAAATACCAACCAAAGACGGCGGTCCCTGTGGATTGTTACGGAATCCACGCCGATCGGCACCAGTAGGGATTGGCGGCTTATCAACCAGTATTCATAGGATTTCACCTACAACTGGGGCAAGGATCGCGTGTATCTCCTGTATGTTTGGCAAAGTTGCTTCTGATGATGACATGTTGTCGGACCATCTCGTTTTGGTACACTGGCCAGTCATGCTTGGGCACGCCGCTGGTTTTTTCGGGCAGCTTGCGTTGAGTCAGCGCGCATGTGCATAGGAGTTTTCTTGCTAGTGCTCAATCTAAGTGATCGAAGCAAACTTATGCAAGGACTTAAGCTACTAGCACGCAGGAAACTGGGTTGTTCTCAAAACATCGTCAGATTCTTATGCCAGATGGTCGTAGTTTCCATTGTTGTAGTGGTGTCCCACTGCGGATTGCGGGTGCGGACGAGCGATCCGGGATGTTGTTGTTGCATATAGGAAAACAGCAAACAGACTGCTCGCCAGGCTGGAATCACTATGATTGATTCGCATATGGATTTTCTTACAACATGCGGGGTGTGTCCCAGCTTAGATTGTTTGACTTTAGAAAGAGAACAGATTGATGTCGCCTCGATTTCAGACGGAGCACTCAGCATCTTAGCTCGGAATGATTCGCGACTGGCAGTGTGACGTCCAGTATCGGCTGCGGGCATGCCGAGTTTGTTCCAGGGTATTTTTTGTTTGACTACCAAGTATATGGCAACATGATTTCATTTAGACTACCCAAGGTTGGAATCATGTACACTACCCCGTACAGCGGCCCGTACATGATGTTGCATGTATCATGGAAAAAGAAACTGATTGCAATTCTGGACATGTGTACAACCCTGCAAGAGTGGTACTGGCTTCCACTTGGACGTATACCAAACTAGCTGCAAAGAGGACAAAGAGAGCAGGACCCGGATTTACTGAACAGGGTGATTCATTTGTTGCAAGCCTGTCAGCATGTCACTTTGCCTTTGCCCTCGAGAGGATCTGGAGGGATATGAAGAGATGCCCTTTGAACATGTGTGTCTATACACTTCTGCCATGCCCCTAATTTTTGGTTCTCAAATAGGGGCAAAACTCAGACCTTGCCTAAGTTGCTAGAACTAGTCTGCCGGAAAAGTGGTTGACATGTTCGGCCCATGCAACTGGCCACCTGAATAGGGTCCAAACACACCCAAGGCCTATGCAGGCCCCTTTCTAGAGGATACTTTGCTAATTGTCATTTAGTTCTGTAGGGACAGAGAGCAACCGCATCCATGATCGTTCTGCAAAAGGCGACTTTCGCCGGCAAGTGATGGATCCTCGCGTGAGCGTATGCCATCCTGGTCCTCACATGGTCGACCCTGGTTGTTACGGGCGCGCCTATTATTGGGTGTGTCTTTGGTGAGGGCTGGTGTAAAAGGCCATTATTTCTTTTTTGTTCTTGTCACGGGAGGTCCCGAGGTCCCCCATTCTGAGATGCACCGATGTTGTTTGGATCCGTTTAGCGTCCTGTTGACCAAGCAGCGATTGCTCGCCCGTTGCGTGCAATACGCAGCGCGTGCCGAGACTGGACGCCGCTGCCTCTCTCGCGGCTCGCCCGAGCAAAGCCCAAAAAAGTGGTGTGCGATTCTGGGGGACCACGGGCACATCATACGAGCACCTGCACTTGAACCTCCTTTGAAGGAAGCTGAACTAGTCTAATTTGCTCAGATGGAGTCTCCACTGCCATTGAACAGCGGGGTCATGTAGCCAAAATTTAGGGTCATGACAGGAATCAAACAAGGGCATTGGAGACTGCAGGCAGATGGAGATTGTTTGTGTTTGTTGGTTTGCATTCCCACTTGCCCCTTGATCCTCGTTCTTTTGTCACGGGGCGTCTCAGCAAAGCTATGTATTGCAAGTGCTTCTTGAGCTTTTTGTGATCTCCTGAGCCCGCCAACAAACCGGGTCTAAGAGCAACTTCCCCATGTTTTCCGTGAGTAAGGGCTTTAGTTCTCAATCCACCCTCCCAACAGGGCGTAGAGGATCTGGCTGGCTTTTGAAAAGCAGGATAGTTGAACGGAATGGTAGGTGCGCTTGCCGCAGCGCATCCTCCCTTGGAAAAGTATCCTTTCTTGCCCCAGCGACTAGACAAAGTCAGTGACGGTCCTGAGAGTCCTGGCCATGTTGATCAGTGTGTTTCAGAGCCAAGAAGTGATTGGACATGTGGCCCAAAGATCTATGATAGGGCCCATTGACTGCAGGTGGTTGATCTGATCTCGACAGGGTCGCTTGGCATCCTTATATGTTTCGCAGCGCGGATTTTAGGGTTGACAAGTTCGCTTAATTGCATCCAACACCTTAAATATGGAGTGGTGGTCCCTACAGGTTCCCCTTTTGGCAATTAAAGCCCGGGTAGATAAAGTTTAGTAAGAAATAATCCTAACCATGAATAGGTGCTGCTGCCCTTCTTGTTCTTTACGTGGTTCTGGGTAGGCCATTTTAATGCCAAGTTTTGAGGATGACTTATTTGGAGAGTCTTCCTTTTTTCGACCCGTTGAACATAGTTGGTCATGGAGTAGCCCTAGATTAAGGGCTGAACTTCAACCAATGTTTGCTTGAGTTATGTAGCTCACCGATCCCGGTTTAAAACCAGCTGGTTCGCCCATAACGAAGGCCCTTGTTTGGGCATTCCTTACTATACGGTGGTGAATTACAGAGTTTCGTGCAGAAAAATATGTTGGTCGCGAACCCCCAAACTCTTGGTGCATGAACGATTCTTTTCGTTTTAACGAGTAGTGCCAGTACTGGCGCCCACATTGTTTTGCTGCTTGGCATACTTATCAACTCTTTTATTTGGCCCTTTTTCAACTTAGAAGCAATCACAGACTCACAGAGTGTTGATGCTATCACATATGGCTCTTCACTCACAGGCGAGCTGTTCCGCACGCTACCGCCCTTCATGTCTCTTTGTTTCGGGCGTGCGGTTCCCTTGAACAGCTCAGCGAACACGGTGCATCCGTGGTTTGACCATGGGGGATTTGTGGGCAAGCACGGGGGGTGGGGGCGTCCATTCTTGCACCGATCGGCCTTGCAGCTTGGCTCTCAGCCAGCTGTGCTATATGACTTTTCCCCGTCGTCCGGCCGTTTGTTTTTCCAACAGGGAAGGCTGCATTGAGCCGCGGGGTCTCAAGAGAAGCACGTTCTCGTGATTTGCGGTAAATGAGTGGCATGTTGCTTGTTCTTGAGGCGCATGTTCGCCTTGCTACGCACGGTTTTGCCCAGAGGTGCTCTTGTGAGCCTGGTTTGAATTATTCAAAAAGTTCAGGTGGGTAACGTGAGCCCTAAGGAGTAGTATTTGCCCCCAACTTTTTTTGGCCCTAAAGGCTTTTGCCCACCCAATCATTTTTTGGTGTTGTTTGCTGCCCTAAGGGTCAGGGCGCGCTTGCAAGATGAGCGGTGTGCACGTTCCGGTGGCCCCGGCGGGTTTTGTGAGGCGCCGTTGCACTGACGTCCCAGGTCCAAGTAGTCTCGGTTCCAACTTTTTTTTGGGTGGTAAGGGTATGTCACGACTGTCCAAGGTCCCAAATTCACCATTGAGAGATACTTTAACCCTCGACCTTGGCTGACCACGACAAATCTGGGAGATAGCTTTCAGGGGGACATGTTTGTAAGTCAGTGCCAGGGCCTTACAGCATGGGGCACCAAGACCTCCGGGGGAACCCTGCTTTTTTGCGCTGTTCACGGAGCATTCCAGAAGATGCTTCCAACAGAAGTGCGGTTACGCCCGGTTAGGCAATGAGATTGTCTTTGTAGCATTTGCCAAGGAGGATCATGAGCAGTTGGATCGGAACTCCAATCCAGTTTGAAGAATCCATGGTGTGAACCAGCCCACATATTTCTTCATGGTGTTTGCCGATACATGTGTTGAAGAGCCCTGTGGAAGCCGCATGTTTCGACCATCTCACTCTGGGGACTCTGGGGGGTTGAACAATGCTATGATGCTTATGATCTCGGCAAACGACATCGCAAAGCCACAGTTTGGTTTGCAACCAAAACACCAATCACGGAAGTTGCTTCTCTTGGGGGGTCCCTTAATGCAGGTTGGACAAGTATTATAGTTGAAGCATATTATGATGATTCCTCGCTTTGCGATTCCTTATTTCTGGTTTGTGAATGTTTGATTTGCGCAAGTTGTGCCTGAAGACCGTCCAATGAAGGCAGTCGGGTGGACGCCGCCATGCCCTGCCTTCGACCATCGGCCGGTCAGCTGCCAGGGGCCGAGCCAGAGGACGAGTCCTGGGCTTTGTGGTCGGCAGCGTGTTGCTCAGCTGGGGGCTTTGTCTCGGTGCCTTTGGCGTTGGCGCGGCTGCGCTAGAACGAGCTGCCTTGCCAAAGCTCAGTGCAAACTTCTGATCGATGGAGACAGTATGGGCCTCGACACAATGAAGACTGCCAGGAACATGCTGGAGGAGGAAGGCTTGAGGGTGAACGCAGAGCTGTTTGCCCCTGCAGGCTACCGGCAAAACAAGAAGTGGGGCCAGTTCATTCAGCAGGATGATGTCACATTTTATCCTGTTGCACGGCAAGGTGGTGAGCGAGACAGCAACGACGATGCCATCATAGCCAGGGCTCGAAAGCTGGCAAGGAGCTCAAGGATTGCTTGCATCGTATTGCTCATGGCAGATGCAGATTTTATGAAGTGGTTGAAGAAGTGGCAAGCTTGGGAAAGCGTGTGTTGGTGATCAGTCCTTCCAACTGCAAATCATGCCTGGCAGCTTTCCGCTTTACACCTGCAGAAGTTCTGCCACTTGATATGGTGCGAACTCGACAGCTGAGAGTGTCAGCCATACTGCACAACTCTGGGCAAGGAGAGGTGAAGCTTAGTGACGACCTGATACCATGTGATGCAGGAGACCATGTTGTGTCTGATGTTTGGCGGGTCTTGTCGCAATCTGGCTATGACAGAGAAAAGAGCTGCCTTTTGCCCTGCGTGGCCAAGTTCTGGCTTCAGCACAGTAATAGCTCCTTGACAGTGTTTCCACACAGCTCTTCCCTGAAGGCACTGGGTGAAAAGATCCGAGCGGGACTTTGCCCCTCAGTGGCCACAAGCAAAGCACGAATGGCATATGTTCTTCCACGTGGCACTGGTGCGCGGACCAAGACATCCCTGCAGCTTTACGGCAGCAGAGTATCTGCCAAAATATTTTCAGGAGGTGGGCCCTTCATGCTAGAGGACTCCTCAGACATTGGCTTGCAGGTGATGTCCAGGCTTGGCTACATGACGAACTGAATCAAGATCTTCGTAGCGGCTTGCTCTCATTTTGCAACAGGGTCGACAAGCGCATCTTGCGGAAGCTGTCCTTGCTCCCAGAACCAGCTGACTGTATAGCATCAATCCCCAGGGTCCTGGAACTTGCCCCGAAGTGAAGTGGCGCGAAAGTTTCTTTGCGAGGAAGGCCTAGAAGAGAAGGAGGCTTCACAGGCAGAAGTGCTAGAAGCCATGAAGGAACACCTTAGGAAGAACAGACTACCTGTGCAGAAGAATTATAACGCATGTGTTGATCAATTTGTGGCCCTCCAAGATCAAGGGGGGCCCACAAGAAGAGATGAGATCAAGTTTTAGTCCAGCCCTCCAGCCGTGCTCTTTGTTTCCTTGCTGTGGGTTTCCCTTTAAACCGATGCTGTGGGTCCAGCTGGAAAGCATGTCCCCATTTTTGGCAAGCGCTCTCATCTCCGCAAAGCCATCTTGATTAAGCTGCAATTCATTTGCTGTAAAGAGTTACTATTGTAGATGTTAGTAGCATCTCGGCTGCTCTTTGATTCAACAAATTCACAACCTTTCACAGTTTCCTCTCAAACAAGAAAACGGTTTAGCTTTCACTCGGGATCGAAGACCAACCCAGACATGATTCTGTCTTTGGATTTCTCAGTGGATGGTGGCTTGGAGACCGATGCTTCAAGCCTCGGCTGCGGGAGAGTGCACGCAAATAGAAGAAGCGCAGCGCCCGCCAAGCAGGCTTAGGCTGGGAGTCGTACAGCGGCGTACGCGTGCACCAAGCTGGCAGTTCGCGCAGAGGTGCAGTATTTGTTCGTTCACGTTTTGGCGAAGTGAAGCTCATATGAACCATAGAATTGGCCAAGGCGTTGATGCGTGTATTGTTAGCGCTGGCATTGCCAGTTTTCGAGTGCCATTCGGCCAGAGAAGCCTTGGCACTTCCACCGGATGGGGGAAGATGAAGCTGCGACGTGCGAAGGAGAAAGCACGGTCAGCCCGCGTGTTTGTCGCTTGGATATGTTCCTTGTCTTGCCTTGGGACTTTCAAGGTTAAGAGATTGTCAGGTTCAGTTCAAAAGCTGGCCGGTAGAGCTTCGACAATGCTGCGTCAGGTTTAAGAAACCGGGCTTGCACTTGAAGGTTTTTAAGTATAGGTGCGTGGCCAACGCTGTGTGATCGCGCGCCAAGCGCATGGGGACTCGGGGATTACAGGTCTCACATCCTACCAGCAGGACAACTGGCCCAGCATCATGATCATTTCTTCCCTGTGCTTTGGCAATCACTGTATCACTTTGCACATGAGTTGTGTTTGGCAGCTTGCACTCAAACCAAGGACCTGGCTTAGCATGATTCTAGAATCGAAACATTCAGTGAGGACCTCACATAGAGAAGTGACCCAAGCATACTCGCACATGTTGCCTCGCAAGCCAGTCCCCTCCATTCCCGCTTCTTAATAGAGCGGTTTCACGCGCACTTTGATGCTCCTAGCGCATGGCTTGCGGAAAGTTCATGGGCTGATGATGCATTTTTCATAGTTGTGTGTTCCCAAGCCATCCCCACACTCTCAAACTGGGAAGCAGTTGTGGCAAACGGCTTACCCCCGCAATTCCCTCTCTTGTTCCCTTCCCTTTCCTGGTCGGAAAATCATAATATGGAATTGAGAAGCCGCCAACCCTTGCCCCTGAAGCTAGGGGGGATCTTGCACCTGCCACTTTTGGCATCTTTGGCCAAACTGCCAGGTGGGCCATCCACCCGTGGTTTTCTGCACGCCGGGAAACAGGCGCGAGGGCAAACATGTGGGGAATCGGGGGTTCCTGCTTCTGCACAGGGTTTCTTTCCCTTATAGGGGTATTGAACAATACCAACTAACGAGTGCTGGCATGCATCCTCTTGTTAGCTGTACTGTACATGGCAAGGCTCGTGCATTCACCCAGAACCTTGCATCTGATTTCGGTGCCGGAATGATTGGCACGGCAACTTCTACAGGGCATTGTCTCAAAAAGTTGATTGAGAGATGATTGTGTTGTTTCCCGCCTGCATTGCACCATTGCCACAACGCTGTACCACTCCAACCCACGACACTACGTTTGCAGCCGTGTTTTGTTCTATGGGTAATTGCGCACACCTGATTCTTCACCACTGATGATCTGATGAGCACAACTGTATGTGGATCTGTCATTTCGGGATGATGGGTGAGGTCATTCAACCATATGCTTTGCTGATCCTACTGAACAAATAAAAAAATCGCTGCTTGCGTCGCGTGCGAGCAACGCTGCACCAGCGCCAGGAGTCTCTCAATTTCCGAAGGTTTCTAGGTTTCTCAATTTCCATAGCAGTTTCTTAGAATTGGGCTGCAGAAGGGTTCTGTAAGCCATTCTGTTGGGTAGGATAGGGGGGGTTCTGGATCCCACCAGTCTGGCAGTCAGTTGAGGAGTCAAAGGATTCGTCAGATTCCCTTGGAACATGTTTTATGAACTTCACCTGCGAGGATGTGTGCTTTTTCAAGGAATCACTTCTGAAGGTTTGTGCTCCCCTTTCTAAGAAATACCTTTCAAGGGCCACACTGCTGTATTGTGCTTTTCAAGAACTTCCAAGGATTCCCATTGATTTGATTTCATTTACGACTTCCATTTTGAAAGTTCCTTCCAGTGCGGGCCAGCGCGTGGGGAAACCCTGGAGTGACTGTGGCCGTGTGATTCTCGCGAGGGACTTATGTGAGAAGATTGTGATGCACCTGAGCTGGAGCATTGGCAAGGCTCGGTCCAGCTGCCGATGTCTTCATTGAGAAAACCTAAGGGGGGCACTGAGAAAACCCTGAAGAGTTGCCTTAGGGATGTGTTGATTCGTGCTATACTTGCTGTTGAGCCCCAAAAATGTAGAGTCCGCTCAACGTGGGCGCATCCTTTGTCCCATTGGTTTGATGGTTTTCCTGCGACGATGTGTCTACCACACAAAGTGTGCCCTATTCTTTTTTTTGGTAGGGTCCTCACATGGCGATTTCTCCACTGTCGCAGGCTCGGGCACCTAAAGTTCCCCAAGGGTCAGCAGCAATCTCAACTTGAAATGGAGGCTGTGGGGCCACAAGGGAGCCAAAGCTCCTGTTTGACCCCCCGGTGTGTACTTTGGCTTGAGTGGTGAGGTTGTGCCATGATCTAACAAAACGACTACAGCTTGTTATATTGGAACATGATCTTAACCCCCCAGTGTCGAAAGTGCCTAGGCTATCTCAGGTTGCCTTATATTTATGTCAGCCTCAAGATTCAGCCAACCACGACCCAACAAGGACCCAACAAGGGATGTAATGCAGAAGGTCCCCTGTCACTCCCTCTAGATTTTCCCGCTGGCAGCTTGGCCCAAATTGCAAAGGGCCCCTTCCAATCCCGACTTTTCGGGTACTGGAGCCAGTCGCAAAGGTCTAATACCCTGATGTGCCTTGCGTGGTCCCGGGCATTGGAAATGCGATGTGTTTCTTGGGTAGGACATGGCATGGGCATGTTTGAAACGCAGATGAGTCATCTTCGGGTCATAGACACCACGTCCTCCTGCACGTTGAGGGGCTCAGCTTGCCTGAGGATAACATGAAAGCTGCCAGGCCCCCTTGGGAAGATGAATGTCTTCCTTAGCTCCTGGTGGCTTCCATGTTTGCCACAGATCAAGGTAGAGTCGACGAGTTCTCGGGCTGCTCCCGTCAAACCGAGGATGCGAACAAGCCAAGTGTTTCAGGGAAACGGATGCCTCGACCATTTGGCTTGTTTTGGCCTGCGTTTGCCTTCCTGCCTTCAGCATGCATTTGAGGGTTCGGGGTGCTTTGCATGTTCTTGAAGCGCTTCCATATGAGGGTCATTTTTTTTCGTGTTTTTCTCCCTGTCGGTTTCAAACCACCAGGTTCATGACAGATTTGCCTAAGTGTTGGTTTTGAACAGAACCAGTCATTACTTGAAGCATGAATGACGCACATGGAGAGGCGAGATTCCGCACCTTTGCAAACGGGGAGATCTCGGTGAAGTTGGAGCAGTCGGTGTCCAACTACGACGTCTTCGTGGCCACTCGGACGTCTGAGTTGGCCGGTCGTTCGTCGTTCGCCGCTTGTCGGTCCTTTCGGGAGAGCCTGGAAGTCATTGCAATTGCAGGCAACTTGGAGTCTCCAGCACCCCTTGAGCATGGTGTAATGCACTTATCATTTCGGGGAAAATACACTTCCTCCAATCCTTTTAAAGGAACCCCTGGTGAGGTGCTATGTTAGTGGGAGGGAGGGTACCCAATATTTTAGTGGTTGTTTTGAAGCTTAAGGAACTTACAGACACCCGCACACATATTCATTTGTTGTATGATCTTGGACCATGGCGACATGTCTTTGAAGTTATGTTGAAAAAATTGAGGGAAGCTCAACTTTGGACGTTGACACTCCACTCGTTGGAGGCTACACATAGAATTGTTTTCTAAAAGTCAACAGTATAAATTGATATGTATTTGCTTGTGCATGTCAATCATGACGAGACGATTGGCTGCCTGATCCCCTAGCCGTTAGCACAGTTGGCGTTGTAGAAGGGGTATGCTTTGCAATCGGCGCGACCTGTGCCCCACTGTCGACCCCGGCACCACAGTCTTACCTTTCGGCACGCGACATAGTGGGACTGGCCCCATGATTTTCCAATTGTCAATGTCGCAAGCCAAAGGGTAGACTAAAGGAAACAACCCAGTCGCTGACTTTGCTTACTCCCAGGAAGAGTGATAAATTATTCCGCCAGTAGGAGGGAGCCCTTGAAAACCTTAATGTTGGAACTTGATTAATAAAGGACCCCCCCCTCAACAATGGAGGCACTAGAATTCTGTAGGCTCACTTTTGGGACGTCCAAACAACGGAGGATTTTGGGGCCCAAATCTCTTTTGTATTGCAGCCACTTCCTTTTTGGAATTTTACTTTAGTATTGCAACCACGTCTTCCTGAGCATACTTTTTGGAATACTACTTTAGTATTGCAACCACTTCTTCCTGAGCATACTTTTTGGAATACTAATTACTTTAGTAGCCATTCAATTGGTGGCCCACTTGCTTAAAAGCATTCCCCTTTCATTTGGTTTCTTTCTAGTTCAAGCCCTCCTGGCTGAAAGGCACACCCTTTGAAAGGGGCATGTTTTTAAGCAAGTGGACCACCAATTAAAAGGGGAATGGTTTTAAGCAAGTGGGCCACCAATTAAAAGGGGAATGCTTTTGAGTAAAGCAACTGACAGTTTATTTGCTGGAGGGGGCTGGGGGCTTGCAACTAATGTGGTCCGCCTAAAGAATGCCATTGTTGTGGTTCAGTGGGGTCTGTGAGGAGTACCCTTGTCCTGATTGTTCCCCAAACAGCGAAGCATTGGAATTCTAACTTGAGGTATAGAGAATGGGAAAGTGTGACGCCAATTCTGGGGTCCTGATGTCCGCTTGTCTTCCTGTCTCCCAGTCTCTCCGGTCAGATGCCAGATGCTGTGACGCCGGCTCCGGGTCGTGTCTCCCACTTGTCGCCCTGTGTCTACCAGTCTCTGCGGTCAGATGCCAGATGCTGTGATGCCGGCTCCGGGGTCGTGTCTCCCGCTCAGTCTCTGCAGTCTGCGGTCAGATGCCAGATGCTGTGACGCTGGCTCCGGGTCGTGTCTCCCGCTTGTCTCCCTTCCTAGTCTTTGCGGTCAGAAGTCAGATGCTGTGACGCTGGCTGCGGGGTCGTGTCTCCCGCTTGTCTCCCTGTGTCTCCCAGTCTCTGCGGTCACATGCCAGATCCTGTGACGCCGGCTCCGGGGTCGTGTCTGCCGCTTGTCTCCCTGTGTCTCCCAGTCTCTGCGGTCAGATGCCAGATGCTGTGACGCTGGCTCCGGGTCGTGTCTCCCGCTTGTCTCCCTGTGTCTCCTAGTCTTTGCGGTCAGAAGCCAGATGCTGTGACGCTGGCTGCGGGGTCGTGTCTCCCGCTTGTCTCCCTGTGTCTCCCAGTCTCTGCGGTCAGATGCCAGATCCTGCGACGCCGGCTCCGGGGTCGTGTCTGCCGCTTGTCTTTCTTTCTCCCAGTCTCTGCGGTTAGATGCCAGACGCTGTGTCGCCGGCTCCGGGGTCGTGTCTCCCGCTTGTCTCCCTGTGTCCCAGTCTCTGCGTGCTGTGTCTTGTCTCCCTCTCTGCGGTCAGACGCCAGATGCTGTGACGCTGGCTGTGGGCCCTCTCTGCGGTCAGATGCCAGATGCTGTGACGCCGGCTCCGGGGTCGTGTCCCGCTTGTCTCCCTGTGTCTCCCAGTCTCTGCGGTTGGCTGTTTGTTTAACGCTTACAGCCCTCAACACGGCCCCGGGCAGAACCAACTGAAGCTGCTTCTTCTTCGCGAGTTTTGGGGCTGACCTTGCTTGCTGCCAGCTGGCTGTTTTTCTGCTTACAGCCCTCAACAGGAAAAATGAAGGTCCCTCAAGCTATAGATTCGACAAGTCAGGGAAAGGGCATGTCGTAGATTCTGCTGTTAGCCTGTGTGCAAAGGATGTGCCTCTCCTTGGCCAAGCGCAGGTTTGCATCCTTGCGGAGCATCCTTGGAGCTAGAAGCAAGCAATGTCGAGCCTTTTTTTCTTCTCGATAAACAAACAAATCGTGACATCCGGCTGATTGCTTAGCTCAGGAAACTGAGCTTCTTTTTAGAAGCCAGTGCCGCACTTCTTGGTCAAGTGCAGGTTTGCATCCTTGTGGCGCATCAGCAGGGCCCTGTCGAGCCTTTAATATTTCTATGTTTCTCGATAAAAACAAATATATAGTGACATCCGGCTGATTGCTTTTTGGAAGCCAGTGCCGCACTTCTTGGCCAACTGCAGGTTTGCATCCTTGTGGCGCATCAGCAGAGCCCTGTCGAGCCTCAACTATGTAGACTGGTTTCGATAGACAAATACGGCTGATACTGAGCTGCTTTTGGAAGCCAGCGCCGCACTTCTTGGTCAAGTGCAAATTTGCATCCTTGTGGCGCATCAGCTAAGCTCTGTCCAGCCTTAAATGCTTGGCCAAGTGCAGGTTTGCATGCTTGTGGCGCATCAGCTGAACAAATACCTTGACATCCGGCTGATACTGAACTGCTTTGTGGAAGCCAGCGAGGCACTTCTTGGTCAGGCGCAGGTGACCTTCTGGCGCATCAGCAGAGCCCAGCCAAGCGGCCGTTTGCGTCGCATGAGCAGAGCCCAGCCAAGTGGCCAAGTGGCCTTAACTGACTGGTTTGCATCCTTGTGGCGCATGAGCAGAGCCCAGCCAAGTAGCCAAGTGGCCTTAACTGACTGGTTTGCATCCTTGTGGCGCACCAGCAGAGCCCAGCCAAGTGGCCTTAACTGACTGGTTTGCATCCTTGCGGCGCATCAGCAGGGCCAGGTTGCATCGTTGTGGCGCATCAGAGTGGCCGTAACTGACTGGTTTGCATCCTTGTGGCGCATCAGCAGAGGACTGGTTTGCATCCTTGCGGCGCATCTGCAGCAGAGCCCAGCCAAATGGCCGTAACTGACTGGTTTGCATCCTTGTGGCGCATCAGCAGAGCCAGTGGCACTAGCAAGTAGCACCAGCAAATGGCGCTAGCGAGTTGCAGTAGTGAGTTGCACTAGGAAGTTGCAGTGTGTTGCGGCAGGCGCTGCGCGCAGAGAGCTTGCTCAGACAACTTGCTCATTGAAACTTGTTCAGAGAAAGTTGCTGAGAGAACTTGCTCAGATAATTTGTGCCAAGAACTTAACTTGCTCAAAGGAACTCGCGCCAACAACTTGCTCAGAGGAACTTGCGCAGAGAACTTGCTAGGATTACTTGGCGCCGCTCGCTGCTCATGCTTTCGGGCCACCCATCTTCTAGTCTCCTCTTGGTAGCATCACTGTAGTTCGAGCACCCTTTCTTGTTGGCAGTCCTGTTGTAAACCTTGCCTCCTATCTTGTTGCCAGTATTTAGCACCTTCTGTTGGATAGCCATGTGCCCCGGCCAAAATCATATCTATACAGTCTTTCGCTTCGCTAGCTGGTCCTGCGACGCTTTTTCCTCACCTATGTAATCCAGTCCCACTGACAAACGCATTTCGCTGAAGCATTTCACACCCTCGTGATGGCAAGGCTTCCCTACAGTCTCTGGACCCTACCAAAGGGGTCAACGTGAGCTGTATTGCATGGCGCTTGTGCTAGCCTCCCGCAGTGAGTATTTTTGGAAATCCGAGCAATTCCATTTCATTCTCGCAATCAACGTTCTTTTCCGAGATCTCGACTTGAATTTGGCAGCTCCGGGCGAGATTCTGATTTACTTGCTCGCAGCATACGTGGCTTGTCGGGAAACCAAGCTGGAGGGATGTGCTGATAGCATCAAGACCAACACGTGCTACAGACATGGCCCATCCATTTCTTCTTTGACGACACAGCTTCGCCTCCACTACGCCTTGAACATCGATTCCGAGCGTGGCGAACTCCCCAGCAACATTACGGAATACTTGTCGAGTTCTCCTCGAAAAACTTGGTTGATGCATAGGAGCTCCTGGCAACCTACTTTGCTGACCTTGACAACTGGGAAAGAGTTCACGAACCCGGCCAGTTGATTACAGCGCTGCTGGAGCTGAGTGAACGCAAGGCCCAGAAGTTGTTGCCAGCGGCGTGCGTTGGAATGACGGCCGCCGGTCGTTCACCACACTTGTGAACACCAATCTGCAAACCATAAGCACCAACTCCAAGATGAAACCGGCCAAGCTGGTGGTGTCCACTGTGCAGCCAGCATTGGTAAGTTGGGGCAAAGTTCTCACTGTCACACGTTTCCGAGATGGAGCAGGGCTGGAGCTGACGTTCAAAGCCAAGCTTGTTCCAGAATGGAGCGGCGCTGGGCGCATGGAGCAAAGCCATGCTCCCAAGAGCGGCGCGCTGGGCACCTTTGCTGACGCTTGCCAATTTGGCGCGGCGTGTGTCTGCGTTGCTAGGCGAGGATGTCCCGGCCGTAACGCTACAATCCGCAGTCGGCAAGTCTATGCAAGCGCTCTCTTGCTGTGCTTGTGGCAAGACGTTTAGCCGAGCTCGAGAAGAAGATAGCAACCAGAAGTGGCATGTGTCCAGTCTCGGCCGCAAGCATGAGCAGAGTAGCGAGACGGCCACCAAATGCTGCGGTGATGGAAAAGTGCATTGAGTGTCCGTACTACGAAAGTTCCGTCGAAACTTCCTTTGATTACTGCAGGTGCTAGGTTGATTCACCCCGAATCCCCGGGGCCTTCACTCTCGAACATGGCGTTGACATGGAATTGTCTCCTCGAAGTCGATGAACAACATGGATGCTTTTACCCGGCGTCAAGGAGATGGGTGGACCCGATGTGTCCTCTTCTCAAAAAAGGGGACTTCCTGCAGGGACATACATGGACTGATTGTAACTATGTGTTGCTCACATAGCTACTCAATTTCGCACCTTACATGAAGGAGACAAGCCTTTTTTTGGGTTACACCGACTTGTCGTGCCTTTTTGCTGTTTGGGGTCGAGGCTGGTGTAATTTTTGTTTGAGCAACCAATTGAAAGGCGAATGATTTTAAGCAAGTGGGCCACAAATTGAAAGGGGAATGCTTTTAAGTAAGTGGGCCACCCATTAAAAGGGGAATGCTTTTGAGTATATAAAGCAACTGACAGTTTATTTTTCTGGAGGGGGCTGGGGGCTTGCAACTAATGTGGTCTCCCTAAAGAATGCCATTGTTGTGGTTCAGTGGGGTCTGCGAGGGGTACCCTTGTCCTGATGTTTTTCATTTTTAAACACGGTTTAATAAAGAACTTGCAGTTTCAGGGCTGGGGATGGTTTTCAAATTTCAGAGGTTTCAGCTGGCTTTGGGTTTTGTGTTTGATCAACCAATTAAAAGGGGAATGCTTTTAAGCAAGTGGGCCACCATCGACAATGTGTTTACATTTTTGGATTTGTGGATTTTTTTTTTTTTCCCCCCCCCCCCCCCCCCCCCCCCCCCCGGGGCAAAAGAAGCTTTCAGTTATTCTGGTCCCCAAAGATAATGGGGGTGAACCACAATTAGAAAAACAACTTTGCATTATTGAGTATCCCATTACTAATCGGCGGGTGTTAACATTATTTTTGCGTTTTGATCAGAGCGCAAAGAGGTTTGCGGAAGTTTGGGTCGTTCCCACCCTACAACCAGGTAGACAAAGACCGGTTGGGGGTCTTCAGATGTTGAAGAGGCATCCGGACTCCTGGCTTGTCAGTACAAATGTACTGAACTCCCGCTGCCAAAGGACCCTGGAAGAGGGAGGGGATGGTTCGCAGATGCACTAGCTAAAATCAGAGTCGGGCATTTGCACTTCGGGTGTCTTGAGAGTCAAGCAGTTTGGCAGCAAGTTCAGCATTCCCGAGCACATTGTCCATTTCTTGCCAGCACGCTGATGTCTGCAGGCGAGTGTCCATTGCCGTTTTTGCAACAACTAATCATGAAAGGAGACAAGGGCCTGTTTGAGTTAAGGCGATATGGTTCTTCCAAAATCCTCCTGTCAACTTCCACGATTCGCGGCAAGAGGGTAATAGTTTTGCATGAGAACATGGAAGGCAAACGTGCAAGCACGGGGGAGACAGCAAGAAGCTAAAATTGAGAGCTCTCAAGTTTTGGATTTGTCGAGCTGTGCCACTGCTCTCACCTTTTCCACATAGCTCAGGTTTGCGCTCGGGATGACTTCGAGTGTGAGATCAACTTCATGCTGATGCAGGTGCATTGCAAACACAGTCGTTCCGTGGAACAATGTCGTGGTTTTCCCACTTACGCTCAAACCGCGAACTACTTTTCCAAAGGCTTCAGGACCAAGGAAGTCCAGGTTCTTATTTGACCGCTTCAGGAAGGCGGCTATGGATCCCAAGTTGATTGCCAGCGGGCCTCTCCTTTGGATACCTTTGGAACTATGAATCCAAACTGTTGGAACACCTCAAAACTGGTTGGGAAAGGACATAACTCACTCTCCCACTGACAATCATGATTGTTTCTCATTGTCCCCTTGATCAAGCACCAAGGCCTAAAAAACCTGAGAGAGAGGCTGATAAATAATCATGAATATGCTCCCACCAACACCCATGAAATTTTAGATCCTGCTTGGAAAGCTACTTCCATGCTTGCTGATATTGCTAGGTTTTGGGCTCATGGCGACCGGTGTGCGACCTTGTCATTACAAAGGTCTTCTTGCGAGTATTTACATTTGCTTGTGCGTTTGTTGCAGCTTGCCCAGAATAATGCTTAGACTGCCAAGTAACGCTTCAATGAGTCACGCTTGGTGAGGACGGGATATCATAGAAAGGCTTGGTTTGGCTTAGCAAGGTGGGTGGTTTGCTGTCTAATTTCACGGCTGGAAGCCAATTTGGGTGCTACCCCTGGTTTTGCGCCTAACTTTGACCGCCTTTTGGGAAGGATCATGGAACTTCGTCTACTTGTGAAGGGATGGTTTATAGGTAGCCAGGAAGACTTGGGGATGAGCTACCGACCACAAAAGCAACCTTCCCCCATTTCCAGTCCCGGCTGTTTGCTCACCACCCCTTTCCACCCCTTCCCCACCGCCCCAAAACACTCCTTCGAACCACCTGCCTCCAACACCCCTTCCACCCGCCCCTCCTTTCTTGTCTCAGCTGCTGATCATGCTGGACGCTCTCAAGTCTGAGTCCCCACACCGCATCACCGTGGTGCTGCCTTGCGTGGAGTACGCGCGCCAGGACGCACCTGGCGCTCGCGGCCCTGCCGAGCGGATTGGGTCCTTTCGAAGGGGGGAGAGTCCTGTTGGCGCAGCTGCTGCGGTCTCCCCCCCAAAGTAGACTCTATTTTTTGGGGGGGAGTCAGAACATATTCATTGTTTCAGTACCCCAGATGACGCCTCGCAGGAGTCTTCCAGGTGGTTTTTGAGTTGACCTGGGTTGGTCCGAGTCACTCATGATAAATGACAAAGCACCTGACAGTAGAATGGTAAACCGCTTCCCTTGCCAATCGGCACAACCCCCGCAATTCCCCTCCCCCCCCCCTGCCGCCCCTCTAAACCCAGACAAAAGAACATCCTATCAAAACCAAACTTCCCAAGCCCACCACCCCACCAGCCAACTTCCCCAAACCCACCACCCCATCCCCCAAAGAAAACACACAACAACAAGTCAAGAACCTCGTAGAAAGTCCCTCCCCCCAGAGTCCCCCAATATCCACCAAGCCCCCGAAACATCCTGCCAAACAATCTCCCCTTGGCTTCTCAGCTCGCAGGACCGCAAGTTTGAGGCCGGCGAGGCCATCGCTCCCAAGCTGCTGCCCGGGACCCCGGTTGTGTTGCTTCCCCGCAGGTGAACATTCATAGCATGGGTTCAGGTTTGGTTGCATCTGAGGCATTTTTGCCCTGGACGAAACCTGATGATATCAAAGTTAAACCCTAGGTCAAGGTTAAGCATTAACAATGCAAGAACGAAGAAAGCATGGCGTGGGGCACATGAAGCCCAAATGTGCGTGTAAACGCTTCAGTTCCCAAGTCAGGGGTGGACACAGTGCACATATGTGTCCCCAGAAGGGCAGTTTTGTTGCATGATGGCACGGGTTTGGGTTTGGTTCAAGTTATGTTGCCATCTCCATCGGTGCTTCCCAAAGGACATCTAGGACAATTAAGATTTGGATTGACCCTGGTTCACATGTGCCATGGTCAAAGTGCGCTTTCGCTTGGGGTTATAGAGATTGTACTGGACCCCTTAGGGACTTCAGACCACAAATGAAGGATGGGGGAGCCATGACTCATGACCTTGGCCAACAAAAGGAGTTTGAACATAGTCTAGGTCCCCCAGCTAGGTGCCCTTTTACCGTTTCTTGTCTGGGGGGAGGGTTCCCCTACTAGAATACTCTACAACAAAAAAGGTACCAACTTATTCCAACCTCTCTACTGGAGGACCTAGTAGTGCACATGACGTCAGAGGCTCCACCTCATGGCGACGGCTGGGGCGGACCGCTTTGTGACAATCGACCTGCACAACCAGGTGTCGGACAGCTGGGCGCCATTGTCTTTGTTTCCCCCCTTGTGCCAGATTTTTCGAAGCACCCCTGAACCAGTTGGATCCCTTTAGAGGGACCTGCAAATTGGCATGGGACCCAAATGGGGGGTCCCCCACAAGGAGGTTCCTATACAAATGGAAGATTACTGGGGGTTGCACGGCAAAGTTCCTCGAGTTTGCTCTCGGGGTTGTAACCCCCACAGCTTGCCCCAAGATTATTGGAATAGAATATGCGTTTCAAGTTTAAGTCGAAGGGGTAGCAAAATGGAAACCCTTGCAGCCAATTTTGATGTTGTTTCCTCAGGGTTTGTTTCTGGAGTGGGATGCTCAATGCACGAGGGGTATGTTGAAGCCCAGGCTTCCATTTTGCAACAAGGTTGGCTTAAAACCCAGAAGTGCATTTCGCAAGGGAAGATTCTGGAAGCCTACCTTGGCAGTCAAAACATGGAACCCTGTTTAAGCCACTGCTTCATCCTTACGGGCGTTGAGTGGTGGTTGTGGAAACAGGGCGGGATGGGGTGGAGGGGGAAGCGCGGGCGGCCAGAAAGCAGGACATTGGAGGGTATGGTTTCTGTGTGTTAGGTTCTGTTAGTGTTTCGCGGGCTGCACAGATCATCGTTTGTTTCTGACACACCTCGGGAAGTCCACCGAACGTTGTGCAGCTGGTTCCGTTAGTTTTGGGGGAACAGGTTTCCATACCCGGGGCTGCATAGCCCATACGTTTTTGTTGTGCAAAAGGAAACAAACAGTGAATGGGTGATGTTTCATTTGCTTTCCAGACCCTATTCATCACACAGTGCACTGTAGGGGTTTATGAGGAATAGTTTTTTTTGTAAGCTGTTTTCCCGCTTAAGGGGCTCAAAATGGCGGCACTCTCAATCTCCGACCAGGGAGGGACAAAACGAAAGTCGCAGTTGCATGGTGTTTGTTTCTCTTGGCTTTTGCGGCATGAATTGTGGAAGCGACTGGAGGATCATCATTCCACTACGCAAATCATAACAAGCGAACCCGAGATTCAACCGAGCTTACCGGGTGAAGGTTCCATTCTTGGAGAGGTTTCGTATTTGTCATCTGTGTTGTGTAGCCAGCAGCCAATAAGGAGATAAACCTGATTTTACGCTGTGAATCCATGGACTGTCGGCACCCTCAAGGTTGTTCCCAGGGCTTTGGCCCGCTTTGGTTCAGGGCTGACAGAGCAAACATGTCGGGAAAGGGCATCATACGTTCAATCTTTCGTGGTGTCTACCATAAGGGCATCAGTAATTCGAGTGGAGTTTTGGGGTATGCTAAGTTTCAACTAGGTAATGATAATGGGGCGCAACATGTATGTAGTAATTTATCTCTCTTTGTTCACAGAGAAAGAGCTTTCCATGGGAGAAGTATGCTTGGACTGGCTTTTCAATTTTGCAGGTGCACAGGTGTGCGGAGCAGTGGATGAAGTTGTCTTCAGAGAGATCGCGCACAACTGAAAAGTTGCAAAGCTGTTGCCTTATTGGACTACAGGAGACACCTGAGACTACATGTGCAGCGGACGCCTACGTATTGAAAAGGTTACCGCTTTCGCGCTGGAGCTGCTGGCGCAGTTTGAGTACTACAGTACTGAACAGTTGCTATGGGAGACGCAGATGACTCTGTGCAGCTGGGCGCAAGCACCGGAAAACGATGTAGGTTGCCCTTAACATGGTTGTTGTTGGGAAGCATTTCACATTTTTGCTTGTTATGGTTTTAGTGGGAAATCCCCACTGAACTGATATTTTTTGCCCCCCTTCCAACGTAAACCAAGTTAAGAGTTGCGCACATGTGCTTGAAGCTGTCTGTTGGGTCAAAATCAAGAAGCGGGTTCTTTTTCACAGGAGATTCCTCGCTCCACTGGTGGGCTGTTTGATTTCCATGCTGGAGGAAGACACCAACCTTTTTGGCAAAATGTTTGCTCCCCCCGCCATCTCGGTCGAGGTGCCCAAGCCTTTTTCCAGGCGAGGTTACAAAGACGGACCACCACGTTCCAGCAGCTTCACCAACTTAGGGACATCACCAGGGGTTTTGCCATCCCAACCATGACATGATGGACACTCGTTTCAAAGGAAAGCCTGCTTTGGGGTTAGGAATTTGTACAGTGTATTCAGACGCAATGGTCCCATGCTGTGTCCTTTGACCCACGGCAAGCCGTTTTTTTTTTGGCGGCCCCCTTTAGGGCATTCCAAACCTAATAATGGAGAAACACCTCGCTAGTTTTCATTTTGGGGAGCCCTTTCTGTTTGCAACCAATGACTTCGACATGTCCCCTCGATTGAAAGTCAAAGAGAGGAGCCCCCTGATGTTTGAAGCGAAGCCCATTTTAAGGGTTTCCCTCTTTTATAGCTCGTTTCCCGTTTTTATCGAAGCTCATTGCTACGGGTCTTTGGGACCCCCGTGTTTGGCACCCTCGCCTCCGAAGCTGGCCACACAGCCCCGCGACAAGAAAAGCGCCAGGCGGAGGCGGGCTTTAGCCCGGCGCAGGCGGCCTTAGATGAACTCACCTGCGAGCCGGGGCGCCCGAAACCGCTTTCGCAACCGGAGCGGCCCGAAACCCAGGTCCTGCCACGGCTAAAGCAAGCACCTGGAGTCTCCATGACCCTTTAAAAATGGGATCATTGCCCAAAATTAAGGGGTTGTGACCCCCTTTTTCTAGGGGTCATGGAGACTCTAGGTAGAATTGGGCAGTGGGGAACTTTAAGACCAATCAAGTCATGACTCATGACCATAGAAGAACAAAGGTGAGCCCCTCAGAGCGAGTTTGTTCGTGTGGCTTTGTTTGGGGGGGGTGCTGGAACCACATCCACAGGGGGGTACTTGCCCTTTGGGGGGTCTGCGTTCAAAATGTGGCGGCCTCTAAATCGGCTTGACCTCCTCTGCAGCAGAAAGGCTAACGGCAAGGTGCCTGCGCACGAACATGGAATCCCAAGCCACCTTCTAGAGGAATTTCCTTTTGGCCGAACCCTTTTTCAGCAAAGCAGTGGTGTTTTGTAGAGAAGTTCAGAGGTAAGTTTGGTCAAACATGTTGTTTGGGCCTCCAGCCTTGACAGAGTTTGGTCATGCCTTCAACGTTGAAGCACCGAAGCAGGGACCGGTGTCCTTGTAGTTTTCCGCTTGAACCGCACCGTGGAGAACATATTCTCCCCACGCTTTGTGTTAAGAGAGCGCCACTTGAAGGGGCGCAGGCTATGAGTGCCACGTATACATCCAAAACGGGCCCTTTGGCAGATTTTTAGCTTTAACTTTCCTCTTTTTTTTCTCGTCAGGCCAGTGAGAAGAGTGGACATCCCATATAGCACACCATTTGTTGCATTCTGCAAATTGTTTGTTTTACGGGCAGGCTGGCAGCGAGCCATCCATTTGTCTTGGCACATGACATCGCGATCTCACATTTCGGTTTCCGGTGACGACCTCGGGCATGAGAGTTCTTTTGTTGGGCCATGTTTCAGGTGGGTGGTACTACGCTGGGGATGTGTCCAGTGCCCTTGAAAACTGGCCAACAGAGAACCAGCCATCTTTGGCTGGTCCCTAGTCTTGAGAGGCAGCCATCTTGTAGTTGTTCCGCGAGGGTTGTAATCCCTTGGAATGCACTGGGCAGCTTGAAAGGATCACATATTGCAGTTTCAATGCAATTTTTGCAGGGTACATGATTTACATGATGACAAATCCCGATATACATGATGTACATGATATATGATGTCCACTCATGAACACTCATTCCCACATGGTACAATTTTTCACCGGGAATGGCCCTAGAACGGAAATAAAGAAGATCGGTCCCGGGGTTTCTGGCGCAGGATCCATTCGGGGGTTAGGATACATTTTGTGATGCCAAGGGAGCCTCTTAAATGGTTTGTTTCCGTGTTCCTTCTGAAACCCCGTGCCTTCCCACAATCCCTCTGAAATTATCCGGTTTATGTACCACTCTGCAAAACAGTTGGCTTCCTGCTCAAAAGATCCCTCTTATCTGAAAAAGGCTGTTGGATGTCGAATCTGCTCGTTATTGAGAGTGGAGAAGTTGAACCAACCCGAGGCCCACCCCAAACCAACATGAACCAACCCTGGACCAACTGTACATCCACCCCAAGCCAACCTAAACCAACCCTCAACCAGCCTAACCCAGCCCCAAACGTCCCGAGTCTGTGTTGGAAAATGAGCCACAACTGGTGATTGGAATTGATCCCCCTTCCGTTGGTAGGTGATGATCCTAACAATTCTAGGTTGATCCATCCCAACTGCTGCAGGACTTCGTCCAGTGCAGGACTTCGTCCATCCACCGTATCACCCCTATGGATCCGTTTGGCTTTCCCTTGCAAAAAGGGGGGAGGGTAACTCAACTAAGCACAGGGCATCGAGCCCTTTTCATGCGGTTTTCGAAGTGTTTATTTATATTTGTTTGGGGGCTGCAAAAGAGCAATTAGCAACCTGCCTCGCACTCCCGAGCAAGTGCATAAACATTCTGCCACGTGAAATAACTTAGCCCCAAGCACCGGCCAATCGCTGTGAGGAAATATTTAGCAGCGTTCATCAGGGATAACATCCCGAGCTTCAAGCCAGAGGACGGCAGATGGCTTCGGCAAATGGGCGGGAGTTTGGGGTCCCTTCTTGACCCCTGCGGCTGGAGGCTGTGTGGTGTATGTCCGAAAAATAGTCACTGGGGAAACAACATTTGTGACCTCACCTACCGGGCCCCCGGAAGGGTTGCAACACTTCGCGTTGGTGACTTAAGCTAATTCGGATACGACAAGACCCCTGATATGCGGGGGTCTCCAAATGATGCCTCTTTCAGCCCAACATGTTGTAGGACAAGTTTGTTGTGCTGAAAGCTTAGACAGTGTGTCTTCTCCGACGCCAGCAAAGTCTTAAGTAATCGTCTGAAAAGGATGTTCATGCATGCAGTTGGAGTTGGGGTGTGACTTGTTTACCATGAAAGAAAAGCTTGCAAGGCAGTATATTTCCCTTAAGTGGCATACAGCTCCCCTTATGAAACCAATGTTGACTGGACGTGAGAGGTTGGCGGTGAGGGGTTGGCCTTGGTGCAGCGGGATTTTCCAACCTGGAAGCCACAGAAAGGTAAGTAGAGAGCTTTCCTGGAGGGCTGCCGTGAAACGAGTGGGCTGTTGATGGTCGTATCACAGTAAAAAGCTTCTGAATTGGTGGCGCTCTTTTCGTGGTACCTCTCCCAGCGATTCAATTTCCCCATTTAAAAGCAAAAGGGGCAATCACTGGTGGCTCGTTATTTGCCATAGCGGTAGCGGAGGCAGAAGCTGTGACAGCTCCAGTTCGCTCCACACTTAGGTTCCGTGTCCAATCGGGGCTCCTCCAGAAGATGGACAGGTAGAAGAAGGAGGAAACCCAGTCTTTTTGCTCCTCCAGAAGATGGCCAAGCCACCCTTGGGTTTAAAATTGGTTGAGTTTCCTTTGGCCTTCCTTTGCCGCAGATAAATAATTTGACTCAGTAGGACGCTTTGTGCCAGGGTTGGGATACCGTTTGACTTACAGTACTTTTCAAGGGATGGTCGGAGGCAACCATTCCAAGTTTTTGGACCACCGGAGTAATGTTTATTAAGCGAGCCACATGGCGCAGTTTGACCCTAGACCCTGTTGTTCCCTGTCAAAAGAACGGAGCCGAGGGTCCTTCGAACCACAGCCAGATTCGCGTCGCTGTTACAAAGGCGTCAACGGTCCGGCCGATCGCATGAGCTTACCCCTGGTTTCCAAAATAAGGCCGTATCAGGGTCTGATTTCGGGGAAGCGAGGGGGTTTGCGCCCTTTGATTTGTGCGTCAGTGTAGGGCCAAATCCCATGACGTTTGCGGGAGATGAGGTTTCATCTCAGATGGCGTTGACAGACCCTGGATTACAAAAGCCTGAACCTGGTCCCGGACTCGAAGCCAAAGCCCAAAACCCCAAACCAGACTCAAACATGAACACCAAGCAGCAGCGAACTTTCGCGAGCGACATATGTGTTGTGGTTAGCAGGGTGGATTTTGTTGTCCATCTTGCTTGCAAGCCCCTGGCAACGGGAAGATTTAGAACAAGTTAGTTCTCGAAGGAGATGGTATGGGTTGCTTACCAGGGTATCGGTCTAAATTGAACCACCAGGGGACCGCAGGTTTTAGTCCCTGTTTCCATTTCTATTTTGGGTACCTATTTCTGACCCACACCCACCAAAGTCCCATGTGTGGCTTGAGGTCACCCGCGTCTCCAATGGAACCTTTGCTTTGCAGCGATTTTGGCTCAAACGAATCCCACGAATCCGCGCCTCCTCTCTAGCGAGAGTTTTCGGATCGGGAAGCCATGGCCAAGGCAGTTTTGGATGCGTTGAAGCTTGGTGGCCTCGTTTTCCCCCCAACGGTTCAGCGTGTGGAAGCCGAGGGCAGTTTCCCAGCAACTGTGTTGATGGTATGTAGATTCCAAACCGACAAGCGGGTTAGCATGCATCAGGCCAAAAGGCTTCTTTTGGTTTGGGCTAGTATCGAGTTACTTTCACTTTTTGGCACAGTTCAAAGGTAATGTTTAATCCTTTCTTGACTCCCGAAATCCATGTCGCATAATGGCTTGCCAATATGGGGAAAACTCGGATTGGAAGTCCAAACCATGTTGAACATCCCATGACGCACTTCTCAAGTTGCTGGGTGTCATTATGTTTTGGACAAATCTCTCGGAAAGTGGCTGGCCGGAGGTAAGCGTCTCTTATTGCAGTGGGTCGATCAAGACCAGGGTTCCCTACGTGTTGTCTTTTGCTGCTTGATTAAGTTGACCAAATCATATTTCCTGAATTAGGAATAAGTATTGCAATGAATTCTTTGCCGGGATCGAGCCCTCTACCGCTGGCAAAGACATGTTCAACTCACTTGTTCAAAGCCGTCTTGCTGGTTTCCTCGTGCCCGTCTGCTGTTAGTTGTGGCCCGAGAGGCTATTCTGTCACTTCGTTGTCCTTTGGGGCTGGTGAGCCAGCGGCCAAGCCAAATTATCTTTGTATACACATTCTCGGATGGATTGAGGTATCAGCTTTAGGTTGCCGATGTGAATAGAGTTTCTCTTGGAACGAGGTTTGAGAAACAAGGAACCTTTTTTGGCGTAGGGCTGGGACGCCAACCCAAAACAAGTTCGCCGTTCGCGGGTGGGAAGCAAGTCAAGACGGAGTTTGGGAATGAACCTAATCCCCTTCAAGGAAGCCATCAGTAGGCTTCAGTTCGGGATCATCCCCACTCATTCCCAACCTAACCATGACGCCAGATCCGAGTCGCGAGTCGCGAGTCGGTCGCGCGCCTCGCCGTGTCAAGTCGCATCTGAGGAAGGCCACGGGCGCCACAGATTTGTCCAAGGCCATTGAGGCGGTGTCCGCCAGCATGTGCCTCGAATGCCTCAAATGCCTCTCCTTTCATTCGTGAGTGAGCCTGGAACCTCTGGAACCTAGGCGGTTTTGTTCAAAAGGAATCATGAAACTGCACCATATGCGGCTCCTCTTAAATTGGGTTGTGCAAAGCAATGCCCGGGTTTTACAACGCCTGTTTGGTCGTTCGTGTTTGTTGGACTGCCAGGAACAAAAGGAACTTGAAAAGCAAAAGGACCCCAGAGCTGCCGGTTTTCGGAAGAATCAGCGGGCAACTTGGGCACGTGGGAAATAGCCCTCCACTCCCTGCATTGTGAGTTCACCAAAAGATGGTGACACGTTTGCAAGTGACCCTTTAATGCCCACAGGTTTGTGGCCTCTGGTCTACATACCCTCAAAGATTGGGTCACATGTGACTGACTTGTGTGCGTTCCCCTTGTTTTGCCAGGGCTCGGGACTGGTTCAAGCCCTAAACAAGCTCGTCACTGGGGTCTTGTCCAACGCTATGTTATTCTGGGGTAAACTAAATATGGAAAAGAGCTCAAAACAGCGCGGCCCCTTTTTTGCCAATAATAGTGCAACACCCCACGCTAAAGGACACTGACCGTCGTCCTCAGGCAAAAGCCCACCCTTTGGCCCCTGACAAATGGTACGCAAAGAGGCCTCACGACCTTGTGTTTCAAGGGTGGAGGTGGAGAGTCCAAAAATAGCATGTTTGGAACTTGGTGACTCACTAAATACACTAAAATATGGGCCAGATTCACCAGATACTTAACAAGTCACATCATGCTACTTGAGAGGTTCCCGCCATTCTCACACATTCAAAGGGTCAAAGGGAGCCTCCTCAGCAAGGGTCAAAGGGAGACTCCTCAGCAATCCTGGTCGAACAAAGCATGTACCATCTGAGGAACCTCCAAACCAGAGGATTGAGTCCATGGAACTGGCAGAGGCGCTCACCAATAGGGCCTCCAACCCATGTGAACTCCAGGTAAGTCACATGTTGCCGTAGATTCATACCCGACCCAAGATTCAGCATGGCTTTGAAAGTTGAGGAGAGGGGGGACTCGATGAATTTGAGAGGAACACAGTTCAGACACCTCCAATGATTGTTCTTTTTAGTTTCCCTGACCAACATTTTTTCCAGAAAATGGGGGGCAACCCGAGGGATATCTTTTGGGTTGCCTGGCACCATTTTTGAGCGGGTTCAATACGAAACCAAATATTTCAGAGCACCCATTCCTATTTTGAGAACCACCACCATCCTGTTGCCACCATCCTGTTACCACCATCCTGTTACCACCATCCTGTTACTTACTGTTACCACCATCCTGTTACCACCATTCTGTTACCACCATCCTGCTACTACCATCCTGTTACGACCATCCTGTTTGGTTTCTTTCGGCTTGCATCCCTGAGTGAGGTTCAAGATCAAGGAGCTCAAGGGCCGCGAGATCTTGGACTCCCGGGGCAACCCCACGGTGGAGGCGAACCCAGAACTCGCATGGTCGGCCGGCTGGTGCAACCACAGCAGCACCCGCAACAAAAAACGAAACCCGATCACTGAACAAAGAACACGACACGAATCGGGTGAAATCACTGAGCTCTCTTTTGAGAAACGACATCCTATGAAACCGGCGAGACACATTTTAGACCTTTCAAAAAGGCCAGACGGTGCCCGCATTTGTGGCAGAACGCCTTGGACCAAGTTCAGCACTTGTTGAACACCTGTTGCACTCCATTTGCAAGAGAAAGCTAGCTGTGCTAGCATTGAGTTCGCCTTTTTCGCAATTTAGGGGGCTGGCCGGCTTCAGGGATTGGCGGGGGGGGGCGGTGGCTGATCTGGATTCGCTTCCGACGACCAAGTTTTTACTGCACGCCCCCGCCCCCTCTCGCGAAGGGTTGGATTCTCCCCCCACACCACCAGCACTTTCCCACAATGTCGTCCACATGTTTGTGGCTAGGGCCAGGGAGTCTTTTGCATCAGGTGGTCCAAGTTCGGGTCTTAATGACTCTCAAGGTGTTCATTTAGGGTTGCTATTCTGAATATTTTGGCAACCACTGGGTCGTACTTGTTGGGCTGGCTAGCTTTCGTGCACCCGCCTCTCAAGTGTGAAGGGGACACCTCATTTTAAAATGCGAGGCAAAGCCAAAAAGGGTGGCAAACAAAGGACCCAGCAATCGTTCTTTAGCAGCAACCCAAAGCGGTAGCATGTGTGCGAAAGACAAATTTGCACATAGCCACAGAGCTCATTAACCCCAGGTTTGCAATGTGACACCTTCATTTTGGGAGGATGACGGGACTCCACATGTGTCGAGCCCGTGTTGGCCATCCCTTAATTTCCTGAACAGGAGGTCAACAAAAACATGTTGACAGCCGGGCATCGCATACGCCCACAGGGTTGGGCCGGAGCGGCTTCTCTTGAAATTGAGCTATCGACTGATGTTTTTTACCCATTGCCACTGGGGGCCCGTTGGGTGATGCCTTTTTCTCATTGCCACCGGGGTTCTGGGGCATCTTTTTGAAAAGATGTCGGTTTCACATGTGTCTTGTGTCATCGAACCAAGCGTGATAAGAAGCCACCTTGTTCGGTCAAAGGCAAATCACGAAAACTGACATGGAGTGTTGTCGAATCGGGGACCCCCAAAATAATTGCTTGCCAATTGGTTTCCCTTTGTTGAAAGAAACATATCTGAAAAGACACTGACTTCTTCAAGCACACAACTCAAGCAACAAAAGACCCCAACACAACCCTCAGAAACACAAACACAACCTCAAACCTGAAACCGACACATTGAAGACCAAAAACAGGACAACACATGTGCTCCGTTCTTTTCAGGGGCCCCAGCGTGGCCCACCGGGGGCCCACCGGGGGCCCACCGGCCACTTAGGTGGACCTCACCACGGAGGGGGGTTTGACGGTCACGGCGGCGGTGCCCTCCGGGGCCTCCACGGGCATCCACGAGGCCTGCGAGCTCCGGGACGGCGACAAGGCGCGGCTCGCTCGGGCGCGCTCCGCTCGGGTTTGGTGACAGGAGCCGCTGGGGTTTGGCGCAAAATTGGGGGCCCCTGGCGCCGATTTTTGGGCCAAGCAGCTGGGAGAATGGCCCTCTGAGCAACAAAGCAAGTTCGCCGCCCCCTTGGAAAAAGAACAGAGTCAATCCATTCCCGCAACTGAAAGGGTACCATGGTTTCGCATGAACCTTCTTTTGACGTAGAATTCGGACCTTTTGGATGCCATGCGAGTATTGGCAAGGACTTAACGTGGCCAACAGGAGGGTCTGTCTTGGGGTTGGGTTGGGTTGGGTTGTCCGCCAATTCGTCGAGCTCACCGGAATTGGGCCCGGTTCCTCGAAAGGTGATTGGTTTCCTGGTGGTCAACCAAAAGGCGACCCCTTGAAGCCTTGGAGCACCTTTGACCTTGATGACCTTCACAATTATCTGGCATTTTGACGCTGATTGAATCGACTCACCAATGAAGTGTAGGTCCGCGTAGGTCATTACTTAAGGTGTTGGCTTGTAGAGCTTGCAGATGCGTACGTGGAGAAGGGCGGTTGGTACGGGGGAACAGAGCATATATTTTTCCCCAACAGCTGAAAGCTTTGGGGTCCCAGCCCAGATAGGCTCCGGGGTGGTCCGGGGCAGCCCTCAGGTAAGGTTCCACGAGGGTTCCACCAGGGTTCCACCAGGGTTCCATGCTTCTGCGAGGGCTGTGGGGTGGTGCGAGCACTAAAAAGAGAGCACTAAAAAGAGCTCCGCATGCTGTTGGGGATATCACCCGAGCTTATTTTCGCATAATATTTTCAGGGTGAAAGTACATGAACAAAATCCGCCATGTTGGAGACTTACGGAGAATTATTGCATCACTCAGGGGGAATCATGGCATCTGCTTTCACCCTTGTGTAGCTGTATCTCTGGGGTTGGACACCCTTGGTAGATGTGGTGATATCCCAGTAAGCTGTTTTTTCAAAGGGACCCTTTGCTGTTGCTGGGTTCCCTGGCAAAGTGGATGATAGAACAATATGCCTTTTCCTTGGGACATCCTGTCCTTGCTGGCTTCTCAGTTAAGAATCAAGTTCGGGTTTTGGGAAGGATCCTAGGTATCCCAAAGAAACCACCAGTTGCATGGTTCACTTCGGACCGATCGAACCAGCAATTTAAGAGGAGTCCGTATGCTCTAAGTTCCCTAAACTTGTCCACTATCCCTTCTGTCCCCAGGTAAAGGGCTGCTTGTTTTGGGGAACCCAATTGGTTGTGAGTGTTTCACGGAACACCCCGAAGGACGCCCACCCCTTTGTGGGTCTTCCCCCGGATTTTTCTTTCTTTTCGGCTGGGCGGCGAGGCCCGGTACCTCGGCAAGGGCGTGCTCAAGGCGGTGGAGTCGGTGAATACCACGCTGAACTCCGCGCTGAAAGGCGGGGAGCCACCGAACTCGGAGAAGCTGTTTGGCGGTGGAGCACGGCAGCTATGCCCCGTTAAGGGAATCCCCCCAGAAATGGCTATGAGCTTTCAGAGATTGAACCTCAAGAGTGGTTGGTGAGAGTGAAGCCCCAATTAATTGATGTCCAAGGGTTCCTTGTTGAAGTTCATGGCCAAATGAGGATTTTTGGACATCGGTTTTGGTGCTGCCAAGGGAATCCACTTTAAAATGACAACGTAGTCACAGAGATGTGAATGCCAGTTGATTTACCGCAACCATGCCTGGGGTTACACGGAGGGTCAGGGCTTCAGATTTGAGCAAGCGCCTAGGTAAGCGTTGTAGGGCAAGGAAATGTTCTGGTCGTACTGCATGTTCAATATGTTTAATATGTTATATATATATACCTTCGACTTTGTCACGTTTTAGGTGATGAGCAGCTAAAAAGAGGTGCTTGAAATTGTTAGGCATTCTTCAAACAAGCCAAAGCCAGTGGTTGCTTGGGAAGCCGACAAACCGCGTGAAGCTATAGCTCCAGATGTCCACAGATGACTTCGACCTCCCCACAACCACAAGATTGAATATGTACTTGTGGCTCTGCCGGAGGTTTTTGGGGCAGCCCCCTGGAAGTGGAAAGGCAATGTTCACAGAGCTGACATTTCTCGCTCCCGCCCCCGAATCTGACTTTTGGTTTAAACCTGTTTTGGCCCAGCAGGTTGCTCCCATATCAGATTTTGTTCTATGGAGCGCCAACCCCCATGCTTAGGGGGTTCCCAAGAAAGGTGGGGCCTGGTCTCAGGTTCCAGGAACAAATGCAGACAAAACGATTAGCACATTGTCCAGTTTTGGGTTTTGGAGGTATGGCGGCTCAACCACTATTAGCTCGTGAGCGCCTATACGTGACATGCCACCCCGAGACCTCCAATAGATCTCCAATATACATGTCTTCCCCAAAGGACCCAAGTGCGTCTATTCACGCACTGTGGCATCTTGACCTCCTAGCTTCTCAAAAGTGTGTTGTGTGGATGGAGCATAACCTGCCTCACCAACGGATATTGGTGGTATCTCAGCCGCAGCTCCAAAATACGTGCCTTAGAATCAGGGTGGGGCCAAGTCTTTGCTTAACCAGCCTCCCTTTGCGTGTCCAAACCAGTTTTGCCCCTTGCTCAAAATGCCCTGGACTCGGCCAAAACGTCAGGCTTTGATGTGTCGAAGCAGAAGGAGCTGGACGACAAGATGATCCTGGGCCTAGTTTATGGCAAGCTCAGGGGGCTAAAACGAGCACACAGAAGTCCCGACCTGCAAAGGATGATTTTGTTCCTGAGGCCTTTTGAACCTGAATGGAAAGCTCGACGCTTTTTCCCGTTCTTTTCACAATCATGTTTCCTCTGGGTTGATTCATACGGAACCCTGCAACTCAGGAAGATGCCTGGCAGGATGCCCAACTTGTAGCTGCCCACTAAAGTCATCATGTTGACTGTGTCTAGGGGTTATCAAAGTCAGAAACCGGAGTTGTTTCTCTTTTGCCTATCACCTGCGGGGTGACTTTGTCAATTGTCCAATGATGGGGGCCAGTCCCAGAGCGTCAGATTCCTTAGGTTCCCACGTTAGGCATTGTTAGAAGAAATGTTGCCTGCCGGATATGTGAGTGCTCCCATGTCGAGGTTGCCAGGAGGGCATGTCCCCCTGAATCATGTTGTTTCTTCTTCTTTTTTTTTAAAGTAGACCTTCGCGTTTGGGCTAATTACACCCAAAGACAGCTGACTTTCCAGGTGTGATGTTTAAACTAGCCAAAGCCGGCGACTTCCTGTTGTTCGATCAAAAATGGTTCCCTTCCGGATGCGAAGAGGAAAGACATGATTGTCCTGTGCAAGCAATCGGAACCCGTTTGTTTGAGCCTGTTCAACTGGTCCCTTGAATTGTATGGCGCTCGTGTCCACCATGTTTGAGGCCCATAGTTTGAATTTGGCCGGTTGCCCTGAAAGCGACTCATAATTCGGACGCTTTCCTTTGCATCCCCTCATACAATTCCACAAAATGGGTTTTCCAACCCAACCCCTAGCTACAATTCCACTGGCTCAAAAAAGCGAGGATCGCTTTGGACGGGTCGGCCAACAAGAGCAACCTCGGCGCCAACGCCATCCTCGGGGTGTCCATGGCGGCGGCCAAGGCGGCGGCCAAGGCCCCGTTCCGATTTTTTTCCCGAGCGATGGGAGGTTGATTTTGGGTCCCTTGGGTTGGACCCTATTGGTCTTAAACCCCAGAGAACATAGGGTTAAGGCCCTTGAACATGAGTGGTTGCTCTAGGTTTGGGAAGTGAGATATTTGGAATTGACGAATTCCCAACCGGAGCCAAAAGCGCACAAGACATGGAGTACACAGGGATTCTCCGGGTGTTAACGTGTTCAGGCGTTTAGGGCATTCTTTTGGGGGTGGTCAACCGCAAATTAACTTGATCGACAAAAGAGGGCACAGCTATCAGTTTGGTTCCAAGCACTTTTCAGTGCCATATATTTGTTCAAGAGAGCACCAACACCACCTCGTCAACCAACCAACATGAGGTGAGTTGCCTTTCCCAGGATGATTCTTTACATTGAAGGGAAGTGAGTGAAAGTCCCCCTGAATGTCCCCCCAAACTTCCCGAAACACCCAAAACGGTGGTGTTTAGATCTGGGTTTGTGAGTAGCAGAGTTGTCTTGAAGGCATACCAAAGCCTTTTCCGGTGTTTCTCTCTATGTTGCTGCAACTAGAGTGTTTGTGTGGTCTTCGAGTTCAGTTTCCAATTAAGCCATAGCAGTAATCTGGCCAATAAACTTGGGGTTCGTACCAAGGGTTCACAGACGAATTCACACATTCAGCCTTGGACATGTTCAAGTTAGATAATTACCAGGTTTTTCCCTACTTTAAGATAAATATCGTCCCTGTCCCAGTGGATCCACTTACCTCTATAGAGGTTGTTATTGTTTCCTCCATGTTGTATCCTGATGGTTTCTGCTGGCAGACCTACTGCTTGGGCGTCGCACGTGCCAGGCCAAGGGGGTGCCTCTGTACCAGCACTTTGCGGACCTCGCGGGCAACGGCGCCAAGCTCACGCTGCCGGTGCCCTGCTTCAACGTCATCAACGGGGGCTCCCACGCTGGGAACAAGCGCCCCGGCGGCTGTGGCCCAGTTGGTGGTGGATGCGTCGGACTCGGTGCCACGATTGGTTTTCTTTGTTTAAACACGTTTTTTGGGATGCGTTTGGGGTTAGGAGACCTGGGTGCGTCTTTGTCTTGCAGATGACTACCTTCGTTGTCACCGAAAAAATGCGCAACTTTCTTGCTCACGAGCAGCAGTGTCAACATTGAATAAGCTTGGTTTCCAAGCATTTCGGGGAGCTTGTAGAATGTTTTCCGTGGCTCACATGCCATGTTCAGGAGCATAGCCTGTCATGAAGTG